CCAAGGTCCAGTTGCAAAGGTCACTACATCATCGATGTATTTCAACCGAGGCTATACTTTTCATACCTATGACTATGGTAGACACCGGGCGACAAGTAATTATGGAATATGTGTGAAAGGCGAAACAGATTTCTACGGGATCTTGCAGGAGATTTATGAAGTTCAATTCCCAGGTATGGGTTTGAAATGCATTATCTTCAAGTGTGAGTGGTACGACCCCGTCGTCAACAGAGGTGTTCGGATTAACAAGAACGGTGTAGTTGACGTCAATGGTGGACGAAGGTACAACAAATTCTTTTTTGACATATGTACATGCATGTTCTGAGAACTAATAATTTCTCCGTTGTCTTAATTTTTGTAGGTACAACAAATTCGAGCCTTTCATACTAGCTTCCCAAGCAGATCAAGTTTGCTTCATTCCATACCCTCAGATTACTACAACGGGAATAAACTGGTTAGCTGTTATCAAAGTGACACCTCGAGGACGGATAATCGAGGGAGAAGAACCACCATTGCAAGAAGGAAACACCAATGAAATCGAGGAACCTGAAGCAGAAATTGATGACATCCTACTCATTGATCCGCATAATCGTAAATACGAATATGTCCCTGATCACTCAACGGACGACGGTGTTGAGGACGAGTTTGCTGAAAATGATGATGTTTCTACAGATTATGAGAATGTATCCGAATGAATTATGTATGTTTTATAAGTTTGTTTAATCACAAAAACCAATTTAAATTAAGTATGTTTTATAAGTTTGCTTAATAACAAAAAATGATTTGAATAACGTATGTTTTAAGCTTGTTTAATAAAAAAAATGAATTTGGGATTTAGGTGTAGAAGAGGTTAGGAGTTTAGTTCTAGAAGAGGTTATAAGTTAAGGAAGTTGTAGTTTGGGGTTTGGGGTTTCGAGTTTAGGGATTTACAAACCATTTCCTCGTAAAGCCCTAGTAATAGAAAACACGGGCATAGCTATTTCCTCGTAAGCATTACTAGGACTTTACGAGGAAAAAAACGTGGGCATAGCTATTTCCTCGAAAAGATTTTCCTCGTAAAGTCCTAGTAATATTATTTCTAGGACCTTACGAGGAAATGAAAACACGGGCATAGCTGTTTCCTCGTAAAGCCCTAGTAATATTACTAGAGCTTTACGAGGAAACAAAATTCCTTATATATACACGAGCAATCCGACTTCTCAGTCATAGTAAGCTCCTCTCCATATTCTCTTAAGGTACTCTCTACTTCCTAGTTAGGTGATTAGATTAGGTGGTTAGTTTAGGGAATTTAGATTAGGTGGTTAGTTTAGGGAATTTAGATTAGGTGGTTAGTTTAGGGAATTTAGATTAGTTGGTTAGATTAGGAAATTTAGATTACGTTTGTTTAACTGTTTTTAAAAATTATACAAATTTATACGAGAATTAATGTTTTCTGTTTTTTTTTTAAATTTAGATGGTTAGAAAGAGCAAAGTTGCTGCTGCTCAGTCCAGGAGGCCTGTAGATCAGGGGATTCATTATGCGGATCTATTCGGGCCCGGTTCGTCTTCGTCAGCTCCCGGTGGTTCACCTTCGGGAGTTCCCGAGACTCAGGGAGGTTTTACGGCATCTCGGTCTCAGCAGCCACCTCCTCAGCCTCCTCCTCCTCCTCCTCCTCCTCCACCAGTCGGGGTTCATCCTGACTTGCAGGTGCCGCCGAACGCACCATTTGCGGTGTACACGGTGGAGGATATCTTGGCCCTTCCAGGCAGAGAAGGGCTGCCAGAGTTAGATCCTCTCCGACGGGACGGCCCAAACGTATTATGGTATGTTTTAATTTTTAAAATTTTTTATTAATTAATTTTTAAAAAGTATTATGGTATATATATGTTCTAATTAATGATTTATTTCCTGTCTTTCCAGGTTTGGTCTTGACAATTCTGTCGGATCTAGCGTCTCGGACTGTATCAAGGGATACTTTCCCGATGCAGCTCCAAAGTGGAAGCTGACGGGGAGCCACACCAAAAAGACGTGGTTCAAATCGTTCGCTGTAAGTTTAGTAAATCAATTTAATTTATATTTAATAATTTGAAATTATGAATATTATTGAACTAATCCGTCTTTTATTTTTTCTGGTTGCAGCAAAAATACCGTTGGTCTATTGGGATT